ACTTGATTAGAGTAGTGGCGCGAGGTTTCACATCATTCAGTTTATCTATACTATTTAGAAGCAACAACGAGCAAAACAAACAAAAACATGAAAATAAACCCTTGCCTTTTTGCAACTTACTAGTTACTACACACACTGTTTTCCCTCACTAACAACTTGTGCTGCCCCTAGCACCTATCTCCCTATTGAACAAACTGCCACACAGGCTGTGTCTCACCGCTTAGAGTTTGGTCTTTCTTTTTCACCACACAGGTAAGTAGAAAGCTTCCCATTCTACTCAGGCACAAAACTGGTTCCAGGGTGGAGCAAATCTCTGAGCAGTCTGGGAGTTCCTATAGAGGGCTAATGAGCTAGCTTGCTTCAGCTGGGCCAATTCAAGCCCTCCCAGCACTCTCTCTAGTGGAAAAAATCTGTATACAACCTGAACCTGGGACACACATACTGTATATGCCATCCTGGATACACCCAGGCGATTTTACCTGCCGCTATATATATATATATATACACAGTATATATATATGTATACATATGTGTGTATGTATATGTGTGCGGATACTATGAACCATCCACGTCGGTCCCTAAACTAGATACATAGGTGCAAGGTGCCAATATTGAGTTGGGCAGCTGGAAGAAAAAAACTGTGGAAACCCAGGCAGGCATAGTGTGAACATGCAAACAATACACAGATATTGTCCTTGGTGGGGGGTAACAGTACTGCTCCTGATATATATCTAGGATGACTTATAGCATTCTGAATATCATGCACCAGCAAGTAGTCTTGGGTAGCATGAGGAAGGGTTAGGATCTTTGTCAGATTTTTGTCTGTCTGTGTTCCCATGGAGGATTTATTTAATGTCAACAGTTAACGCAGTGCTTTACAAAATATGGGGAGACAGTACAATTACAATACAATACCATACAAAAGGATTAGAAGGGCCCTGCTTGTCATAGCTTACAATCTACAAGGAGGGGCAAGTGATACAGAAGGTAATAACTGTGAGGAATGAGCTGATTGAAGGAGTAGATGTACAGTTTTTAAGAGGAGGTGGAATAGGCTTCCCTGAAGAGGTGAGTTTTCAGGTATCACCTAAAGGCAGACAGATTTTGAGAGAGCCGGATAGGTTGTGGTAGGGAGTTCCAGAGGATGGAAGAGGCTAAGGAGTCCTGGAGGAGAGTATGAGAAGAGATCATGAGGGAGCTAGACAGCAGGAGGTCTTGGTAGGAGCGGAGAGGACCGTTTGGGTGATAACTTGAAATGAGGTTGGATATGTAGTCGAGGGCTGAGTTGTGAATGGCTTTGTATGTTTTTAGAATTTTATGCGTTGTGCTGTTGGTAGTCATATCCAGTGGAGGGATTGGCAAAAAGGGGTGGCAGCCACTGAGTGGTTGGTGAGGTGGATGAGTCTAGCAGCAGCATTTATGATACACTGAAGTAGGGATAGCCTGTTTTGAGGTAGGCCAACGAGAAGGGAGTTGCAGTAGTTGAGGTGAGAGATTACGAAAGAGTGAATTAGCAGCATTGTGGTTTCATTTTTTAAGAAGGGATGAAGTTTGGAAATGTTACGACAATTAGGGCGGGAAGATTTGCTCAGTGATTGGATGTGGGGCCTGAAAGAGACGTCAGAGTCTATGATTACACCTAGTGCCCGTGCATGTGTTGAGGGACTTTTTATTGTGTTATTGATCTCAATAGAGATGTCAGGGTGTATGAGGGGAGGGGTAAATGTTATGAGCTCAGGTTTTTGAAAGATTGAGTTTAAGGAAGTGCTGCAACATCCACACTGACATGTCAGTTAGTAAATTAGTGATGCATGATGAGAATGAGGGGGTGAACTGAAGAGTAGAGAGATGGATTTGAGTGTCATCGGCACAGAGATGGTATTGGAAGCCATGTTAGGTTATCAGCTGACCAAGGAAGAATGTGTAGTTACAGAATAGAAGGGGTCCAAGGACAGAGCTCTGGGGACCCCTACTGAGGGAGAGGAGGAAGTGAAGTTGTGATAGTGAAGGTGTGCTGAGATAGATGGGAGGAAAACCAGGAAAGAGCAGAGTTCTGCTTTCTTCCTGTCCAGCTTGCCACCCTCGAACAGAGAGGAAGGCTCCTTAATAGGAGCATAGTAAGCAAAAAAATAAACCTTTGTCATCCTAATCAAAAAAATGTTTGGCCTAGTACAATAAAGCATGCTATTTTTGACACCTCACAGTTAAAATGATACACTAAACTAAATGTAAGGCATGCAATTTGTCTTTCTGAATTGAAAACAGCATCAATTCTTCTAGGTACACCTGCACACAGTTTTTAAAGGGAGTTGGCAGGTAGGTTGTTCCAAACATCTTGGAAAACTAACCACAGATCTTCTGTGGATGTAGGCTGCCTCAAATCCTTCTGTCTCACGTAATAACACACAGACTTGATGTTGAGATCAGGGCTCTGTGCGGTCCAAACCATCGCTTCCAGGACGCCCTGTTCTTTTAGTGCTTAATGATATTGGCTGTATGTTTGGGGTCATTGTCCTGCTGCAGAATACATTTGGGGCCAATCACATGCCTCCCTTGGTTTGACAAATACGTATCTGCTTGTATTTCTCAACATTGAGGACACCACTGATCCTGACCAAATATCCATCTCCATTGGCAGAAATGCAGCCCCAGACTTGCAAGGAACCTCCAACATGTTTCCCTTTTGCTGCAGACACTCATCGTACCGCTCTCCAGCCTATCGGGAACAAACTGCCTCCTGCTACAGCCAAAAATTTCAAGCTGCCATTTTTCTGCAGCTTTGCTGCCAAAAAGCCATACCTCCGACATGGAAACAAGGCTAACTGACTCAACTATGCAAGAAAACATAGGAACTGGAGTGCAGAAAATTACATCTGGGATTACATGAGGACACAGAAGGATTTAAGGCAGTCTACATCCACAGACGATCTGTGGTTTGTTCTCCAAGATGTTTGGAACAACCTACCTGCCAAGTTCCTTCAAAAACTATGTGCAAGTGTACCTAGAAGAATTCATGTTGTTTTGAAGGCAAAGGGTGGTCACATTGATTTCATTTGCATTTCTCTTCGGTGAATTTACTTTCCATTTTGTTAATTGATAAAAATAAACTATGAACACTTTAATTTCTGAAAGCATTCTTACTTTACAGCATTACAGCACATCTGCCTAAAACTTTTGCACAGTACTGTATATACGTAATAAATTTAGCACACTAATAAATTCAGAAAGAAAAATTGCATGCCTTACATAAAAATTTAGTTTAGTGTGACATTTTAACTGTGAAGTGTCAAAAATAGCAGGCTTTATTGTACTAGCCCAAACACTTTTATTACTGAAAGCATTCTCCTTTATGGCATTTTTTCACACCTGCCTAAAACTCTTGCACAGTACTGTATATTCTTACATAGTTACTCAGGTTGAAAAAAGACACATGTCCATCAAGTTCAACCTACAGAGATAGGAAAAAAAAGAAAAGAAGATAAGCCTAAACAGAACGCTATGCCCCCAATTACCCACTGTTGATCCAGAGGAGAAAAAAAACCCTATTCTGTTGACTTGGTTGATACTAAAGATGACCACATGTTACAGTGCATTTGTACAATCTCTGTTCCATCTTCTTTTGATTTAATAAAATATAATGTGAGATTACGACATATGTAAACAATCCATTCAATCTGTATCCAATCAGGCAGGCCCTTAACCCCTTCGTGACGGGAGACGTACAGTGTACGTCCTGTCACTTTGTGCCTATATGACTGGCCACGTACACTGTACGTGACGAGTTATATCAGGCTTTGTAATGCCGGTATTTGCTGATTCTCAGCATTTAACAGTCATTCATTAATGTCTCAGTACTACGTAGTTGTTTTACAAATATCAGCTACTTTATGTGCAGTTCAACATACAGCTTTCTTTCCACCATGCTGCTTCCACTAGTGGAGGGCAGCTCCCTGACTCCAGGTATGTTTAACATGCACAAGAAACAAAACACAAGAGCGCCCGATCGAAGCGTATTCACGCTTTAGTCTTAAAAACGTTTATAAATAGTTTACTCACAAAGATAGATGTATTCAAGTGTATATAGACTTCTCTCAGTAGGGGCTCATAAGCCCATCTGTCAAAGCACTGTCCGTCCTGTCTTCCGGTTCACCGCCGGCTTCAAGCCCGCACTCCGTGTTGTTGGTAGATCTAAAGAATATTGTACAATCCCATTGTTATGTGTATGATCACTTTTTCTGATACCTGTTATTTTAGGGATGGTAGAGATGATCCCATCTGCAGAGACTCTGAGAAAGATCCAGGTGGAACATGGAGTTACTGGTTCCTTTAAAGACCGTCCACTAGCTGATTGGTTGCAAAAACACAACCCCACAGAGGATGAATATGAGAAGGTAATAGGTGATATCTCTGCATATGTGTGTGTATAATATATACAGTATATATAATATATGTGTGTGTTCTCGATGCAAGGAGTAAGCAGTGATATAAATGCACTTTGTGTGCACCAAATGGAAATACAAACCTAGCCTGTGTGAGGGAACCGGCAGACCCACCCACTACAGGCTGCCTACAGAAAACTACAAGGTGGGAGGTGGATACAAGACCAGTCATCCGGCACAAGAAGAGAGAGGAGCAGTGGCCAGTCTTTATAACAGGAAGCTCTTGCACTGAGGCAAAGTGTTATACTTGATTACTGCACAGATCTGGAAGAAATACACAAACCACACCAATATGCAAGATACACATGCCAGTATTTGCTTATCCTGGGTTTCTGCTTTAATTTCAGACCATTTAAATCTCTGAATAAACTAAACTTTAAATGTCTTGCAATGTCATTTTCACAAGGATTATATAGTATAAAGTATAGGATTTCACAGCAACTACTATTTCAAAAAATCATAGAAAGACATGAAGTTTTTCCATGATTTTCTGAAATAATAGTTGCTGTGAAATCCTATACTTTCTTTATTATCCTTGTGAAAATGACACTGCTAGACATTTAACATTTAGTTTATTTAGAGGTTTAAATGCATTGTCTGTGGCCCCTTCAGATAAACTGTAAATATTAAAAATATAAAATATAGATATTAATTTTGCATACTCTGGTGAAGGGGAATTCTGTTGGTGGGCGAAGCTGAAAAAGTTGCAACTCACTCCTGCCTACCTGCAGGCTCCTGAACAGATTTTATTTGAATCTGTTTCTTGCTACCATTTTAAATGATGTAGGCTGGTGCACATGATCAATTTGGGTTTAAAATTGGAGACACAATGTAAAGAGGTACCATCAAAATATTACATTTTTATGTTTAACTGCAGTGTCTTTAAGACATGAACTTTTCAAACTATCATATGCTGTTGGATGTGCTAAAAAGTTTGAATAAATTATACTGTAAGTTTTAGATACAGTTAGATGAGATTAGACTTCCAGCAGTATTTACAGTAATTGTTTCTTACTCAGGCAGTGGAGAACTTCATTTACTCCAGTGCAGGATGCTGTGTTGCCACCTATGTGCTTGGCATATGCGATCGACACAATGATAACATCATGCTGAAGACCAGTGGCCATATGTTCCACATAGACTTTGGACGATTTTTAGGACATGCACAAATGTTTGGAAACATAAGACGGTAAGTGTGAGAAAGAAGATACTTTTCTTCATTGTTCATTGAGGGACATAGGAATATAGTTATTATTGGACATTTTGGTTATACTTCTGCCTTGAGCAGTTTTGAATACTGGCAAACAAAAAAAACAAAAAAACGTAACACCGCCTCCAGCTGTCAATGCCTTTTGCTAGTTTTCTAGGAGGTTGAAAACTCCCAGCTGGACAGAGGGTTGCAGGGCTAGCCTGGAATGTGCCCTTTGGGCACTGGACTCTGCTTGTGGCACTTTCCAGACCTTTGTGTACTGTCCCTAACTATGACAAAGCCTCTAGTAGGATTCAGTCTCTGACTTACTATTTAGTAAGCCCATGAATGGAGCGAAGACCTCCTGGAATGTGACCACTGGGCTCTGTTTTTGGCACTTTTCAGACTTTTACATCCTGTGTTAGTTTGTCGCAGAGCATTGTCCAGGGCAAGTAGTAGTGCTTTCCAGACCCTTGTGTACTTTGTCATTTAGCTGCAAACTGTTTTCCATTTTCAGGGACATGACATACTCTCTGTTGTAAACCGGTTCTTGTAATCTCACTGTGTACGGCATTCTCTGATGTAACCAGGCAGATTCTTCTCTGTCCTTATAGAAGGTGAAGGAACATTATACCTGGGAAGTTGCCAGGAAGGAAGCATCTGGAGACTTTATTATTCATGAAGGGGGCGGGTTCAAGCCAATACATTTAGGAGGTGCCCTAAATGAGGAGAAGAACACATGTTCTGGAAGGAGGAATGCTGTTACTATGAGCAGAGGACAGAAGAACTACTGCAAGAATTGAATGGCCAGAACCCCAAGAAGGAACAACTAGCTTGCCCTGGAGATTAGAAGGGACCAGAATCCAGGATGCCTAACCCTGTGGATATTGAAGGGACATTTGTAGCTGTGGGCAGTCCTGTTATTGCTACAGCCACTGATATTACACTAGGACTTGGAGGACTGCTGAAGTGTGCGTGTCAACCACATGGAACTTTTACCATGATATATGGTTGCATGTAAATATTGAAACTGTTATACCAACTACAGAGTGCTAGTAATACTGTCTTGCTGTATATGCTAATGTGGACCTATGCTGTAGTAGGACATTTTGCTAAAAAATACCTGTTTGTTTACTCCAGTGGGTCTTGGTTACACAGTCTCACTGTTTACCGCATTCTCTGATGCGATTAACATATCTATGTATACAGTTGTGCTCAAAAGTTTGCATACCCTTTGCCCATACATACAGTATCCCCTCTACGTTTCTGTTGAATCTTCGTAGGTCCTTTGCCAAATTTGTTTGGGCGGACAAGAAACCTTGGTTGGACTTTCGTCTCCTCTCCTATCCGGTCACATGGGGGCATAGGTCTCCCCAACCCGGCCAATTACCTCAAAGCTGTCCACCTCACTAGAGATTTGGACTGGGGTTGCCATGGCGACTCTAAAGTTTGGATCTCTGTAGAACAGGAAGCCTCACAAGCTAATCTCACAGGCCTACTTGACTACCAACTCCCTGATTTTGACTGCTTGGAACCCACCTTTTGATAGGCCCTACACTGAAACTGGCCAGTTTCTCTTCCATTTTGTGGGGGCAAGGTCTCTGAGATGACCCCAATCTTTGGCAATCCCGAGTTCCCCCCTGGAGTAATAGATAGGCAAACTGTCACGCTCAGAGACAAGGGGAAATTCAGATTTGGAGACTTTATTTCCCCTTTGGGCCTTCCTTATTAGATCTTTTATCTTTATCTTGAGACAATTTCATGTACCAGATGGTGGAGACTCCGACCAGAAAAAATGCCATCTTAGATCTAATTATCAGTAATGATGCAGAGTTAATCGAGGATATTGTAATTGGGGAGTCACTGGGTAATAGTGATCACAATGTGATTACTTTTAATATTGAATACAGAAAAGGGAAGTGGGCTGGACATACAAGAACCCTACATTTCAGAAGGGGCAACTTTGATAAGCTGCGCAACCTACTGGGGGAAATAAAATGGGAAAACTACATACTGCTACTTCAAAGTGTATACCTTTAGGGAGCAAAAGCAAAAGATCTAAGACTAAACCTATATGGCTTAATAAAACTGTAAAACAACACATCAAGGACAAGAGAGCGGCATTTATCAAATATAAGACGGAGGGGACGGCAGTGGCGTTCCTTAACTACAAAGAATATAACAAAAAATGCAAACTAGTAATCCGCGCAGCTAAAATTGAGTGCGCAAAGCATATCGCCATAGATAGTAAAAAGAACCCCAAAAAATTCTACCAATATATTAACAGTAAAAAGGTGAGAAAGGAGCAGATAGGCCCAATAAAATGTAAGGTCTCGGCGGTTCGTGCTGTGGGGGGTTCGCGTTCCACCCTGGAACGCGGCGCCTCCGATACGATGACGTCACTTCCGGCTTGCGCTCCAGCCTGGAACGCAATTGCCGCGACGCTGTGCTGTTCTCCACCCACTCATCCACATGGGTATTTAAACAAGGAAGTAACTACCCAGGGTGTTCCACTAATGGAGTGCGCACCCTGTTGCTTCCAAACCAACTGAGGCACTTACCGAGGACTGCTGGGACCACGAGGACTCCCCAATTGAACCCCACGGCTCCCCCATTGCTGGACACCGGAACTGCAGCTTCTAAAACGCAAGTAACCCCATGGTATGGGGATTTCTATGTCACTCTGGACTGCCTGTGTGGATACTATCTAAAGTGCTGTAAAGGTTAAGGACTGTAGCATCATCAGGTTGTGTTGCCTCTGAGTTCATGCCTACACTGTTCATGTTCATAGCCTGGAGCTACTTGTTACACCCCAACAAGGTCATCAATTAACAGCCCATACAAATCTGGATCAAGATTAACCCTACTCCTGCCACTCATCTCAGGAGCAGGCTCTAACCTTTAGTTGGTTTATTATTATTTCTCCTTTGTGGCGTATGATGCTAGTAACCCCAAACTCTCCGCCTAAGATTGAGAGTGATGCCTGGGGTTCAGCCTGAATAGCCACTAAACCACAAATCCGCAATTGAGGAAGTTGTACTTCATTAATGTCAACAGACTCCGCAGTTGAGATCCTGACAGATAGCCTAGGCGCGTTACACTAAGAAAAGATGTCCTTGAGCTGGAAAAAGTCCAGCGGAGGGCAACCAAACTAATTAGGGGTATGGAGGACCAGAGCTATGAGACAAGGCTAATAAATGTAAACATCTTCACATTGGAGGTGAGGAGATTAAGGGAGGATATGATTTCCATGTACAAGATGTTCAAATGTGAAAGCAACATTAGCGACAAACTATTTAAAATTAACTCCATTACAAAAACTAGAGGCCACCACCTAAAATTGGTGGAGAAAAAAATTCCAGCACAAGGGGCGAAGGGGGTTCTTCACAGTCAGAGCGGTTAGGGTCTGGAACTCACTGCCACAGGCATTGATTTCAGCAAAGAGTGTGGAATTGATCAAGAAACTTTTGGACGATTTCCTAAGGGACCGTAATATACAGGGGTACATGTACTCCTAAGAATGAGATCCTATAGTTTGGACTTGATGGACTAATGTCTTTATTCAACCTCAAATACTATGCAACTATGTAACTATCTTCCCCTTCCTTTCCCAGATGGAAACTTTTGCAACTATCCCACTTTGTACAATATCTGCGCAAGAAAATGTATACCTCTTCTTCCCTCACTCCCTTTGAGCTGCTCTGTATGGAACAAGGCCCATTCAGACATGCCCTATCTTATATCTACCGTCTTCTCTCCGCCCCTCCTGACCTTTTTGCACCTCTTTCATTTGTATTTCTCCCACAGATCCTCCATCTATGGCAGAGTCCAGGAGTCTGGTTATAAGATCTTGATGCGCTGGTATAGAACCCCTACTTTGTGGTCGCAAATATCATCTTTATGTTGGCGATGTCACGGTCGAGAGGGTTCCCTTCCATATTTTTTGGCAATGCCCTATACAAGGTCCCTTTTGGGAACAAGTCCGACACTACATATCCAACTTAACGGGGATAGACCTGGGCGACAACCGTGCGGCCTATCTTTTACATCTTTCCCCGTTCCAGTGGAAACGTTATGAGAGATCGCTGTTGATTCACCTAATTATTGCAGTCTGGACATGTATACCCCTTTTGTGGAGACAGGAAACACTGCCTTTTTTGCCACTGTGGTTTTCTAAAATTGCAGAAATTCATACCATGGAAGATCTTACTGCCACCCTATATCATGGAGAGGAGAAACAGCACAAGATGTGGTTCTACTGGACCACTTTTACATTTACAGATGAATTTGCCTCCCTTCTTAGTGGCCCTGAAGTGGGACCTGGGGTGGGGAGGTGATCTGCTCCTTCTCTTCTCTGTTCTGACCCATTTTCAGTTATCTCTCTTTACCTTAGCTTCCTTTCTTACTTCGTTGCGCTCTTTTTCCTCTCCTTTACTGTCTCCTCGTGTCTCTCTCTGGCTTATTTTTCTTTGTTCAATTCTGGTTTTTATAAACGGTGATGAAGTTGTACCTGGTTACTTTCCTATTTTTAAGTTGGTGATAACAAATACATTGGGAAGAGTGTTCTTACTGTTCTAATTGGCTGATCGATGCCATTTGTGTTTATTTGAGTCTGTTCCTGATGACAGCTTTTTGTGTGCTGGTGTGCCTTTATGACACCACTTATTGTTGTTCTGTATGCAACTTTTTCTAAATAAATAATTTACAAAAAAATGTGCATACCCTTGGAGAATTGGTAATATATGTACCATATTTAGAGAAACTTGAGTAAGCAGGCAAAACACATTTCTTATCAGATTCATATTCAACTGCAGATCATAAGAGAATGGCACAATCATAAACAAAACATGGCAACAATTAAAAAAATGAAATGACCCCCTGTCCAAAAGTCTGCATTCCCTTACATAGTAACATAGTAGATGAGGTTGAATAAAGACCAAGGTCCATCCAGTTCAACCTATGTGTGTATGTGTATCTGTATATGTGTTTCTGTATATATC